GGGGCGGGTCCCCGCTTAGTTTTTCAAAATTATTATAAAAAAAAGTAGAAAAACAGAAAATTATAAATAAACTGAGGTCCGAGAATGCAATTTCCGGCCTCTAGATTTGGGGCTGAGGTAGTATACACCCTCCATCTGTCAAAGCCACTGAGAGGTCAGCTATGGTCAACAGAATGTAGGCTAATGACTAGAATGGATTCCAGAAAAATATGATAAACCTATTGAGGAAGTACCTACATAACGGTACTGTTGAACACTTCCGTATAGGGCCGGACCTACCTGGTTGGGGAAGCCCCTTAAAGTACCAGACACTGATCACCATCTCCGATATCATTACTGAAAATGTTCCGGTAATGAGAAGGTAAAATGTTCCATATTTTGAGCAACAAAAATACTACTTTGGCTTTTGAGCAGAGTGGATTTATATATATATATATATATATACTGTCTCTTATACACATCTAGATGTGTATAAGAGACAGATTTTGCACGTTGCCAAAAACTGACCGACCGAAGTTGGAACCATGTCTGCATATCGACATGGATACGCAAAACGATACAAAAACATACAAAATCATAAAGTTGATAAATGTCGTCCTTTTCAAATCTTGAATTAAGTAATGGTATTTTTTTAATACAAAAGTGTATATATATACTGTCTCTTATACACATCTAGATGTGTATAAGAGACAGGAGTGGATGTTTACATCTGATGACGTGGTTTGGTGCAGCGGGAACGGTTTGGTTTCCCAACCTCGAAGTAGGGGTTTCAATCCCTCGCTGTGCATTCCGCTTGTAGTCAGTGTCAGCTCAAGTACTGTCTCTATACACAACTAGATGTGTATAAGAGATATATATTAGCCTATATATACATATATACACAGGGCAAAACATCACTCCTATATACGTGAGTTCGAGACCAACGCTCGTCCTTGCACCTCAATTCCTGAAGAAGTTAAGAATATTCATTTCATTTTTCAAGTATGCATGTGTTATTTCCCCCGACGGAGGAGCCTTTTTTAAGTCCACTTCCACTAACTTTAAATCATGTATCAGCCCCGCACGGGGTTGCAATAAGGGCGGCTGCTTTGTACGGTTGCCAGCTGCTATATTTTGGTATCTAGAAATTCCATGGTTGGGCTGAGGTAAGTATGAATTCAAAATCCGCCTCCCGGTCCCTCGAGGGGAGGGGTAGCTCTCTACAATTTCCAGCTACTGCTAGTTTCGGGCATCCAAAAATTATACTTTAAAACTAGGCCTACAATATATTAGCGAATGGCAATCTTAATAACTTTGGTTTGATTTGAAAGTTATTAAGTTTTATTTTTATTGACTAATTAAAATTAGTCCGACGACCTCGTCGTGGCGTTGGAGGAGGGGTGGTGGGGGATGTCCAGGTTTGTAAAGGGGTGGAGGACCGCTTTACCGTAGCTCTTTGGAAGTATACTATATTATTATAAGACTAATATAGCAACCCAAAATAGGGTCTACCAAATCAAAACTGCTGATTTTTTCTTTTACCGGGGGATTTCTTTTCCATTGATTCCAGGTTGGACTCATTCACTTAAGCCTGCATTAGTATAACTATCAATCAAAATATGCCACCACATATGACAACATCATTCCCATTATCATCATCGTCGAAGTCAACGCCATCGATCATAATCATCGTCATTATTATTATCATCATCGTCAGCGTCATTATCCCCTCATTGTAATTACCATCATAATTATTTCATATTTTTCTGGGCATCCAGAGGTAAACAAAGTTTAGACTTCTGACCCCTGTAAAACCAAGCACATTCAACAACATTTTGCCCCTCCACTCTTACACAGAAAAGCTGGATCGCCTTTGAATGTTGTTCTCTACATAGGTACGTCTTTATCACTTGGTAGATTTGTCCATAGATGTATTTACCTTTCAGTGTTTTAATTGGATGACAGAAGAATCAAGTTGACTAGGTTTTTCTGATCTCCAATATCCCTTGCACATATAAAATGACGGACGTGAGTTCTAACACCAGAAAAGGGCCCCCAGTCTCAGAAAGCCACAGGGCCCTAGGGCCTCAGCATTACGCCTTCGCATATTTACCAACCGTCTCACACCGTGCGGGACTGTCCCGTATTTCAAAGTGATTTCAGATGTAACACGCATTTTGCAGAAACACGTGCATGATCATAAATTGTCACATAATTATTAAAAGTCTAGAGGTGATAACGAATAATCACGAATTCAGGGAAAAAAATGTATTTAAATTTGGAGGAAATTAGTTTTTGGCTACATTTGGCTCATCCATGCTTTCTGTTTTGGCAATTCACTTGAATATCTGGCAGTGGCGTATCTAGGGGAGGGCGTAGGGGCTTACGGCCCCACCCCCCAAAAAAAATTTCTCGCTCCCCAGTCGGGCCCCCCCCAAAAAAAATCCCGGTCAAGTAGTTAAAAATCACCTAAAATCACCATATTTTGCGAATTAGCAGCTCTTATCATGGCATCACATCTCGTAAACTTGCTTTCATTCTTAAATTTAGATTATGACCCATTCCATCATTCCTCCACTGGATTTACTCTTACATGGTCAATTGCCAGCTAATACAGGGGCGGATCCAGAGATTTTCTGACAGGGGGTGGGGGGAACAATATGAAGTCCATGTCGCCATGCCCACCTCTGCCCCCACCATGGTTGGTGTAAACAGGGAATCCCTGGTGTAAATAAGTGGCAATCTAGCTCTCCTTTTTCCCACTGTTGGATTCGTGCCTGGGGCAGTAGACACAAAAATGGAGATTATATATATATATATATA